ACCTAAACCACTTGAATATCTATTGGCCAATTAACCATATAGAAGAAGACTTTTGAAAAATATCTAGCAGCAGCTCAGCTTTCCCTATTTGCTCAGCATAGCTGGATTACTTCCCTCACATCAGTTGCTAGGATCAGAAAGTGCACACTGCAAGTGTAGCATTATAAACAAATTCATATGATAGATTTTTCAGGTCCAATAAACATAAAGTGCAATACTCATTTGCACGAGAGAATTTCTAAGTGGATACATCAAGTTGGGGCCCCTTCATATTTTAAAGCGGCTTCTATTGGCTATATGAAATAGTGCATCCTAGCTCTGTTGGACAATATAAATACACAAGCAGGAAGAGATCTATCAGAGCTGAATTTCAAGAGTTTTGAATGTGGAGACAGAGAATCTTGGGCACAGGTGTGATTTCCATGGTCTGTGGAAGAGCGAAAGGAAGGTAGAAAAAGGAAGTAGGGATAGGAGAAAAATCAGGAAAGTGATAAAATTCTCAAAGTCCTAGCGAGCATTTTCATATACAAAACATCCAGTATTACCTAGATAATGTTTTTCTCCAATGACATATTTTTAATTTTCTTAAATTATTAGAAAGACAAAATTACATTAATAGAAAAAATACTTCATAAAGAATTTTGTTAAAATTTACTCACTATAAAAATGAGAAGCTCCTGTGATTTTAATGGACACTTAAGCAAAATATAATTTAAGAGATAAGCTTAATAATGGAATCACCATAGAGTGCATTTTAAAGCCAGTTTAAAAATTCTCCTTTATTGTGACCATCATGCTGTTCCTCTCCTCTATCATTATGGTCAGTGCAGAGATGATTGTCAAAGAAAAGCAAATGGGTTTGTGAGGAATTCTAATCTTCTAATCTCCTGGGGCCCACTGTGGTGGCTTAGATCCACCCCACTGCTGCTGAAATCAGAGTCTATTTTGGAGCTCTAGGCAGGTTCTAGAACCTTCTCTAATTACCCCAACTGGAATTAAACAAACTATACAGCGTTAATGAACTGTGTGGCCACATCTGCCTCTGCCAGACACGTTACAGCCTTGCTGCATGCTGTTACGTTACCACACACTAATTATCTTTTGGGTTTTCTGCACATTCTTTTCCAAACAAGGCAGCCCTGCCAACTTGTCAACAGGGCATTTACTCTAAAAATGAAGTTACTTTATTTTTTTGCCTGAGAATTCCTACAGTCACTTTCTTACCGACAGAAATGGAACCGGGATTTTTTCTTTTTTTTAACTGCCTCTTTAAATTAAAGGAGAGGGGGACAAAAATCTCTGTAAGCTAATACGTACCTTCTTTGGTGGTTGTAGTCCTGCAAGTTTTTCTGATTTAAACCAGAGAAGAAGAAATGTCACCATTCTCAGCTGGTAGGAAAAAAAAATGTAGGTGGATGGTGTGAAATTT